GTTAAGTGTGACTGATAGCAACACATCTACGAAACCTCTCGGCTACCATTGTGTTGCAATTTAGATGTCTATTCTATGTATATAAATGACCATGTGATACACATCGGGTACAAGGGACACACAGGGCTTGTACCTTTATATATACATAATAGGCAATTGTATAGTATAAGTTGGTAGCCGCGAGGTTAGCATGGTAAAGATCAATGATTTAAAGAGTCAAGTTAAAGTGAGAGACTTGTCGGTCTAGGTTCGAATCCCTTTATTCTCTTTGTTGTCCCTATTCTTGAGTTTTTCCATTTATTTTATTGTGTATGTTATTGTGGATATTTTTGTGAAAATAGCGGGTTTTCCCGGTTATTTTTGGATTATTATTGGCTATTTCACATATTTGAAACGAAAATGATTACATTCAATTTGTCCATTTTTTGTTTTATATATATAGTATTATTTCATCTGTTTTACTACATAATTTTCCATAATGTTTATTCGGAAATCCCTATGCGAGTAAATCGTGATGTACATAGAATTAGGCTTCTTGCTAGAAATTTCGGTAGTAACTTATTATATAATACATGTACTTAGAAATAAATTCGAATATGTCTTATTTTGTAAATTACAGATAATATTCAGATGCCTCATAATTTAAAGACAGACGTGTTAAGTTATATTTGTATTTCTCTAACCAATTAATTGTGAAATTGGATTTATTAATGCATCGTTGAACATGATAACGTGGTTATTTAAAAACACTTACAATACCTTCTAATTAAGAAAATGCTTTTCAATTTTGAAAAGACATCAACACAATAGTTTAAGTTATAGATACAATGAATAAGCGTTGATTCATGAAAAACAAACCATTTGCCCTCCGGGCTCATGATTTCTTTTTCAAGAATCAACGCTTATTCATTGTATCTATACTACATAATAGTTAAACAGTACTCAGACTGATCTATACAAGTAACAGTTACCAAATTGCGTTGGAAACGGACCAATTAGATGGCAGTGCATCATTTAGTTGTTTATTCATTATATTGTTTTAGCAACAAAATAATACCATAGGGTAGTTTTATAAAACGAAGTGGTTAATATATATTTTTGAATTCCAACTTTTTAAAATAACGATTTTTATTTTATAAATGAGTAATTCAAAACCCTATGCATACTTCATTTGTAACTGACCAATGAATGTTCTGTACAAAAATTTCTTGTTATATATATTTGATGTTTTTAATCTGTCAGTAATCATGAAATCGATTCGTAAAGACCAGACCATATGAAAACAGTAAGTAAACTCTTCCAACAATTAGATATTTAAATAGCTTGTTTCAAAACTTCTAATCGAACAGACCTAGATGCATAAGGTCCTTCACACTATTCAGGTAAATGTTCATTTTGGTTTTGATTCAGTAATTTTCCTACACTACGTTACATGCAAATGAAAAATAATTATCCTAGTCTGTTTAGTCAAATTAATTAATAAATTTTGTTTTGTTTGGTTTTTATTATTTATAAAAAAAACAATGCCTGTAAACTTCAATGAAACAAAATCGTATTAAATAGCCTAAATGTAACATCTTTAGCATCAAGTTATGTAGGCTTGAGAGGCTCGATCAAAAGATGAGATATTTTTTGCAAGGTTGATCATCATTCTTAAATTAAAATACAAAGTATTATATGAAAACAAATACTTTTTTTAGTCGTCCATCATTCCCTTTTTGACGTCTAAATGAAGCATAAACAACTTGAAAAAAAACTTTTACCTTCATAAATTATAATAATCAATTATTTGCTTTTGACGAGGTCGATACGCTATATATATATGGACTTGGTCAGATTATATTGGACGAAATGTGAGATTCAATACAATCTAACAGAACCATATATAACGTATTGACTGAGTGAAAATTCATAATTTATATATTACATGTAAATAGTGTAAGTTTGAAAATGACATTGACTCGATGTTCCTTTTTTTTTGAATTATATTGAATCGATGTTTCTATTCTTAGTAACATGGCGTCAATATCATTTATAAAAAGGAACGTCGAAAATTGGCAAACAAAAAACCATTAAAAATTTTGCACTATTATAAAAATTTTGCACTATTATTGAGCGATTTAAATGAAAATTTTACATTATAGCATTTTAAAAGTTCTTGTCTTCGTGTACTTTGTACATGGAATAATTTACGAAGTTGATTGATTGTTGTCTACTTAACGTCCAGTTGCAAATATTTCATGCATGTTCATGACGAGAACACATAAATTTTAAATACAATTAGCAGTTCTTGCAATAGTAGGTCGACAGTGATGTTAGACGTGAAACTTGGAATATCAATGGAAAATGAGGATATATTGAATAAGGACAGAAATAAGCCTTGCAACAGCTGGCCACATCCGAACCCCTCAACTAATTGGCACAAGAGTTTTTAATTTGCAGAGAGCGTTGATCAATGAAATCTACTCTGAAGTCGGCAATCGGTATTTACGTGTAGTTTCTAAATTCATTTAAAGCATCTAATTTAGGTTAGATACTTTTAGCTCGCTTTAGTAACTGTGATAATTCTGTGAAACTGTATTGTTTATTGTACTTGAGTTTTTGGTATGATATTCTATACTTTCGCTCGCCTTGTTGGTCGAAGGAGTGTGATAGCCTCGAGAGCGGGAGGTCGTTGGTTTGAATCCCCACCGGGTCAAACAAAGACGTTAAAATTGACATATGCTGTTTCAACGCTAAACACGCGGCATTTAAGAGTAAGAGCACAGACTTTTCGGCTCGGAGTTAGAAATGTGTCCGGGTAGGATGACTTTTCTTCCTGTGAACTTACAAGTTAAAAGTCCGGCTCAGCGTGTCGTCTTGCACAAAGCAGGATTAATATTCATATTACATTTACATGTTTTCGTCCTGAATATGCAATAAATTTGCCGCTGGACGTCATCTATTGTCATCATTTATTTTACCGTTACTAAACAGTAAAATATTTTTTTTCTACTGGTTTATATTACATCTTCTTTAATTTCCCCCGATCGAAATTAAAAAAGGGCAGGTGATATTTTTCAACCAAACACTTGTGCCTGTTGGGATATCTTTGACGGTAAATATTATTAAATTAAACCCGTATTTTGTAGTCATGGGGTGGTTTGGAGCTTATTATTCTGTATAGGCATCTTTCTATTACAAATGACTCTATATTGACACTTAATGTTTTGATATGTCTGTTTCGTTGTGTTGTTGTCGCATTAATATATACCTCCTGTCGAAATAGAAATGTCGTATATCCATTGCCTGGTGTAGTGAGAGTTTTATGCTATATATACGTTAAAGAACCATTTAAATAACTCTTTGAGGGGAAAATACGATCTACGTACAAGTTATATGATTGAAATCTCTAAACAACAACAAAGGTCAGCTAAATCTTCAAATAAATAAAGGCAACAGTAGTATACCGCTGTTCGAAACTCATAAATCGATAGAGATAAAAACAAATCCGGGTTACAAACTAAAACTGAGGGAAACGCATCAAATATAAGAGGAGAATAACGACACAACAAAAACACAACATTAAAATGTAACACACACAGAAACGAACTATAATATAACAATGGCCATTTTCCTGACTTGGTACAGGACATTTTAAGAACAAAATGGTGGGTTGAACCTGGTTTTGTGGCATGCCAAACCTCCCGCTTTTATGGCAACGTCAAACACAACACCAAAACGACAACATCACATGACAGGACCACAATACAAATAAATGGGAGAAAATATAGGACAAAGAAACACACGAATAATAGCTAGCAGAAGGTACGAGGCTTAAAATTCAAAACGCCAGACGTGCGTCTCGTCCACACAAGACTAACCAGTGACGCTCAGATAAAAAAAGTTTGAAAGCCAAAACAAGTACAAAGCCGAAGAGCACCGAGGACCAAAACTTCCAAAAAGTTGCGCCTAACACGGCCAGGATTTTCTGGATAAGTCGCATGACTGATTTTAAAACATTGTTTGCGCATTTTGCAAGGAAACTTAAAAATAACAAAACCGACCAGTAAGATAATATATAAAGAATAAATAATACGGCCAAAATAAGTTGAATCCTTCTATAAATTGTTGCCAACATTTTTTTTATCCATTTTTGCTTTTGTGACAATTATACCAGATATAAAAAAAAAAAAAAAAAAAAATCGAAACAGCAAATTTTGTCACCTAGACGAGACTGCCGTCGATGTACGCTTCAAGATATGAGTTGTTGCCACTCAATGAAGATTTTTTTCTGTTCTATTCCTTTTCTCCTAGTTTGGCTGGATAGGATACAATGTAACCCCTGATGTGGACCTCATCAATTATGTTATTTAATGTAAAAAAAAATAAACGCAAAGAGCGTTACATACATTTATATTGAGATTACTTATATACAATATGTATAAATTCAAATAATATTATAGGCTGTGGCCAAATACTGCCAATTTGTTGTTGGGTTTTAACAAGCATCTGGGATAATATTGTTTTACGATGCCCTTCTTTGAAAAGATTTACAAACTCATGCAACTTCCAAAAACGTGTTCAAAATTGATTGATTTTAGTAGCATTGTGTCGCGCTTGCTTAATTTCTTTTTTATGTTTAAGAAAATTAGTATATGAAATTTAAAAAAAAATTTAAACAATTAATTTTAAGACTCTACGATATTCAAAATTTGGTCCTTTTTCAACGACTTTTGAATTTTTATCGTGTGAGTGAAACAAATATAGGGGCAATATTTTTGTATGTAATTTGGTGTACTATCCTTTTATCTCAATAAAGTGTTTATAGAAAATGTAGATTCAACATCCAAACATAAAGACTGGTATTACACTTCTGGAAAGTTTATTATCAAACTTTTAGCAGTTTGACACAAAGAGTTGATCCTTGAAGCTGTATTGCGAAAAATAACCCTGTTTGTTTTTTATTTTTATCTTGCTGATTTTGTAATTTACTGCAAAAGAGAATAACAAATCAAATATTCTAATGTTTTCTGACCTGTTTAATGGTGCCAACAAGCTTATCATAATATTGACTTCTGAATGTCTACACAAACTAAAACATTATACAGTTCTCTCTCAAATGCTGCAGATTTATGTTTATGTTTGTGTATCCCTCAACATTCCACTCTATCACCAATAAATATATGAAGTACCTGAAAATAACTCTATATAAATTATATGCGTCCATGGTGCTTTTTCTGGATTTACCTTTACCATCAATAGGAATGCTCAAAATTATTCAACAATCCTTGAATTTATAAATGCTTGACCGTTATGGAATAACTGTTTCACAGATGATATCGCATATGTTCCTTATGTCGTAACTACAATACCCTTCCCTTTTCACGAATGTGACCTACCGAATTAGACTATTTACCGGATTTGTAATAACATAAGCAACACGACGGGTGCCACATGTGGAGCAGGATCTGCTTACCCTTCCGGAGGACCTGAGATCACCCCCAGTTTTTGGTGGGGTTCGTGTTGCTTAGTCTTTAGTTTTCTATGTTGTGTCTTGTGTACTATCATTTGTCTGTTTGTTTTTTTATTTTTGGCCATGGCGTTGTCAGTTTGTTTTCGATCTATGAGTTTGACTGTCCCTCTGGTATCTTTCGTCCCCCTTTTTTGATCCTTTATAGGTCATATCCATCTTAAACATATTTTTTTTCAGGTGCAACAATATTAAAACATTGAAAGTTAGAGATTTACATTAAATAACAATATCTGCTGATAGCATAACAAGAAAATAACTTTTAAGCGCATTTTGGAGATAAAAAGAGGTTTAAATGACCCTTCTCCTTTTGTAATATTAAAAAAATAATCACAATAAATTTAAAAATCAGGGAAATTGATAATCATGTGTAAAATGTTTATCTCCAGACATAATATTTCGCCTGATAGAAATGATTAAAAGGAAATTTTGTAAAGAAAATTATAATGTTCTGTTTGAACTCTGAAATTGTTGTCATTTCAATAGATTTCAGGTAGATTTGAGTATTTTTACCAAATTTCTTTTGCAGTTGTAAACCACGTAATCAGAACTGCGTCCTAACAGAGTCCGTACAAAATAGGTCCATGATAATTCGCAACTATGAGTTTTTCTTTCTTTACATCAAACGCGAGTGCATAAGATTGATTTATTCCGTCATCACTCCCAAGCAGCTTTCTTGCTTCTTTTCCATCCGACGACAATACGATTATGCTATTGTTACTTGCCGAAGCAATATAAACGTTCGAGTCTTTATCTACAGATATCCCCCGCGGAGAACGAACTGATTGATCTTTGTATTCCCACAACTTCTCTCCAGTCAATGAGCAGCATGTAACTGTATGGTGTAAATTATTGGTATAAAATATCTTGTCTTTGGATGTTGTTACAAAACTCCAGTTTGATAAGGTTTCGTCTTTAATCAAAGTAGAAGAGCAATTGTCTGACACATTTACTTTCTGTATACCTGTGCCAGTATTACAGTATAATAAGTATCCATCTCTGTAACATATATCGTAACAGTTACTGGTTGTTTTTATCCTGCTTCCAATTGTTTTTGTTAAAATGTTGATGATTTGAATTTGATTTGAATAAGGAAATGAAACAGCGACTGTCTTGTCATCGATACAAGTGACATCTAATGGGTTTGGATTTAATAAAGGTATGTCATTCTTCAAGGTTCCATCTTCCTTTAAGATCAGAAGACGTTTTTTGTCGTAGTCTACTAGGATGATGTCTTCCGTACTAGAAAAAGAACACCCTGTGACACCACTAAATTCAAATTTTCGTTTTGACGTCATTTTGATATCATTGATAGCTATTAGTGGTGCACGATGAAAAGTTCTATTCTGTGCTTGTTTGTCTTTCTCTGTCTGCAATACTACCAATGGAGAACTCGATGCAACAGATATTGAACCGAATGAAGTAACAGTGGACAATACGTCGGATAAATTGTCCCCAATTTTACAGTTCAAGTCTATCTTCTGTAAACTACCGTCCTCAAATAAAGAATGCATAAATATTTCATGTTTCTTAATTTCTGTTTCAATCATTTTACTCCCAAGAAATGCTTGTAGGTCTGACGCATATTCTTTGATAGCTGACATATTAGTTTGCAATAAATCCAATGTTTCCGTATGTTCAGCCAATTTTCCCAGTAAGTCTTCTATTTGTGGTTTAACTTTCTCTTCGGCAGCATATAGATCCTGAAGTATTCTTTGTTCTAAGCTGTCAAGGTGCTCGTTAATTCTATTACGGACCTGTTTTATTTCATCGTGAAATTTCTGCCTTTGATTCTGGATTTGAACAAGATTTTGTTTCCGATCTTTAACAACTCTATAGATATTCATTTTGATATCTTTCAGATTCTGATCAAGACTTTCAAATAAGACTGAAGTCTTTGCTGTTTGTATGACATTCTCAAGCGATAATATCCCCACACAGTTAGCATGGTTGGATTGAATACACAGTGGACAACAGAGACTTTCATGTTGCGGACAATAATTCTTGAATTTTCTGTCATGCTGTGAACAGTATGGTGATATATTAGCTATCGAGGGAGGTAATTGTTTATAATTGTCGACAGATATAACATCATGGTTACGTAAGGCTTTCGATGCATTGTGATATTTCAGACATTGGAAGCACAGTCCTTCATCACATTCAGGGCACCAGTAGTCAGCATTTGTTGTCGTGTGCTGAGAGTTACAAACACCACATGAAACTGTGCTGGATGATGCCATTTAAGTTTTGCTCTACTGAAAATATGAAAAATTCCATTATTCAAATTGTAATTGCAATTTGCTTCAACAAGGATTTGTATAGTTAGTATACACATCCATTGTTTATCGTGGTTGATTTATATATCACAGGGGTCAAATATTTCGGCCATGTTATTTTATTTATAGATCTTATTGTGCTGATTATATTTTCTATTTCCAAGTTTACTTCATCTATTATAACTTCGAGAAAAGAAACATAAAATGGGTTAAAATTGTCTTTCAAGTGACATAATCACTTTAAGTGGTCAAACGAGAGACCAAAGATACCAAAGGGACATTAAAACTCGGAATTCGAAAATAAACTGACAACGCCGTAGCAAAAAGGGAAGACTAAAAGACAAACAGTATAGTAGACTACATGATCAGCACGAACCCAACCAAAAAACCGGGAGTGATCCCAGGTACTCCGGATGGGCGAGCAGATCCTGCTCCACATGTGGCACCCGTATGACCATGAATAATAATTTGAAGATATTTTTTGTCGGTCATTTCTGCTATTATAAAAGTTTCTCTATATCGATTACAATTTTCAAGATAAAGACCAATACTGTAAAATTTGCTGAAAATGTAAAATTTCCGGGGTAATAACTCCAATGTCTCAATTTTCTAAAACGTTAAATTTGACCTAGGGAGACTTTCCAGCTGACAACTTTTATCAAGTCAGTTTTACCGTAACTGCTGTAATTTTTAAATATAAACATTTGTGCCAGGTGAGCTAATGAAAAACCGGACAAATACATGATCTAATAAAAACACAACAAAATGACAACAGTTAACTCACACTTCTCAGAAACCAATGTAGATTGAGCAACAAGAGCCTCAACAAGCTGTGATTGAATTCAGGTGTTCTGGATAACTAGGTGTGTGAAATATTAAAGCTATTACAGGCAAATTGAAAGTATTTGTTTTATGATATTTTACCTGATTAAATGAATGATATCAAGAACAAGGAAGGTTAAAAGTATAAATAGATATGTGACGACAGACTACACGTGACTCTTACCGGATATTATAGTATTGATAAATTGATATTTAAGAGATGAAATATGTTCAATTTAAGTGATATTTATCATGCATAAAGGTTAATCCAGAAGCATTGGGGAATAAAAATAGATGACTTTTAAATTACTATAACACAAATGAAATACTAGTACACACTTCATATTTTAAGGCAACACTCAAATGCGAAAATGAAAATGCCCCCCCCCCCCCCCCCCCCCTCCGCCCCACCTCCCAAACAACAACGACAACAACAACAAAAAAAGAATCTAGGAGACATTCCTGTCATCAAACAGACAAAAACGGTGAATATTTGAGTACACCGATGTCGTCAACATGTCAGTGGCAAAGCAACTACTTGGCTAATGAAACCACCCGCTTACAAACGCACAGCTGTATCGATCCGATGTTCAAGAATATATGATTACTACCATTACTGTATTTCTAATCATTGTTTACGTCCGGATTTTGTCAGATCAGAAATCTACTGACCTAAACTTGGTGCAAGGATGCGCTCATACTGAACAAGCTTCTGTATTCACAAGTGAATGACAACTTCATCACACTCTGGCCTATTTTTTACGCTTCATTTATTAATGAGTTTATATTTGTAAATTCAAGTCATAATACTAAATATAAAAGTAAAAAAAAAAAGATGTGGTATGATTGCCAATGAGACAACAAAGTCGCCTACAATCATATAAATTGGTTCAAGGATTCCACAGTCTTGATCGACTTATTTCAAGTTTAAAGCCAGTTCAGATCTCTTCATATTACACATTGCACATCATCTAGCGGTATGAAATCCAATACACAGCTAATGAAACGTTTTGTTTATTTTTCAGAAATATCTTTTATAAACACAAAAGGAAAAAAGATAAGATAAGGGAAATGAGACAGCAACTCATCGACACAAACATTCAATGCACAGAGTAATTACGAAAAATGTTAGATGCGTACATCTATAATTCTAACCGGGACTCTGATTCACTGCAATCGCAAGGTTGAGATCTGGCGAGAATCCCAAACTGTTTCCTTCAGTAACATGTACTTGTGAATGTTTACTTCAGTAATATGTACTTGTGAATGTTTACTTCAGTGACATGTACTTGTGAATGTTTACTTCAGTGACATGTACTTGTGAATGTTTACTTCAGTGACATGCACTTGTGAATGTTTACTTGCCACCCCCCTTTGCATGTTTTTAATCAACTACACATTTTGATAAAACTTCTTTATCAATTTTATCACTGATTTGAATATTTACTATATATTGCTCCATCAGTGAGGATCTACAGGGTGTGTCAAGACATAATTATATGGATTGTAAGGACTATGAACACACTATATACATAATTAAGTAAACAAGCTTATGATGAAGGTTTGTGTAAACAGATATGGGAAGTCTCTGAGAGGTTAACCGAATCAAAATGACAGTAGGAAAGTATCATTGTGTATGGGTTTGTAGTATTGCTCAATGTAACATTCATGTCAAAATTTTTATATCAGGTTGTGAAATTTACAAAAATCAAATGTGCCTTTATCTTACGTTATTTAAATAAAAGGTTAGAGCTTGCCATACAATGTGGATAATTGACCATCATTGATAACAGAGGTCTAGATGTTTATTTTGGTCATTTTTTGTTGTTCGTGCACTGTCTTGTTAATATTTACTGGACATCTCATTTTAATCATGTGATGGAACAGGACTTAAGAATTGAGAAAGAATCAGAATTTCAAATGTTTTTTTGCATGAAGAATTTGCAAACCATGTAAAATAAAGTAAAGAAGATGAGGAATACATGAATTATAGAAATGGCAGACTATTTTTAGTCCATCATCCGCAAAGAAATTTTATGATTTTATACACAGTTGCTACAGCAACGGACAAATTGACTATAGTTGATGACAAGGTATGAATTCACTATACAAGAATAATTCTGTGCTTTACAAACTAAGAAAGAAAGAGGTACGATAGGAACCAATATCTGGTCTGGCCTTGGCATAATTACTCAAGCCTTTCAAAATTATGTATATTCTATTGATAAATGAATATGAATAAGTTAATGTAACCAGGACACTAAGGTGCAGAAAATCACAGGTAGCATCACTATGATGTTATAAACATGTTGAAATTGACATATTTGACCTTAAATTGGTTTTTTACACATATTTTTGAAATTCAAATTGAAAAATGAAAGCCAAAGCCTTACCCAGAAAGATATTTTACTCACATCAAAATATACCTTAATATTACTGACAAGATCAGAAAATGAGGCTATGTTGGCAGTTTTTCATTTTTGCATTAAATACAATTCTAACATTTGTTATAATTTTAAAAACTTAAATAAATCTTCACAATTTTTATGGCTCTTGACCCAAGAAAACGTATCGCTTATGGAAAAAATGGGCTGTTACATTGGTGAATGTTTTGATTTAAGGAGATCAGGTATGGATATTGACATAAAGTCCAGTAAATAATTTGAAAATGAATGCATATAACGTAATTTTATTCTTTTATTCACAATATATATATTGTTGATGGCTCTGATTCTGACCAATGCTAATATGCTAAATATATATTTACATGTACACTGTGATGTTTATTGTTGTAATTACCAATTATGTCAATCAATTGTATCTGATTTTATGCCCTTTATGGGCCCTGTAATTTGGGAAATTAAAATATTCTTTTCTATTCTATTCTGTACCATACTGGTCAGTTTGATTAGACAATATTTACTGGAAATTTTATTCTTGGTCCATTATTTGGACTTTTGTACCATTTCACTTTGAAGATTTCATATGCAAAATATGGCCTTAACACACCTACTGCAAATTATTTTAGTAATCAGTTTTGTAGCTTTTCCAGGGTTACCTTTTAGACAATAATAAATCTCTTTGATACTTATTTTGAATTTGATTTTGCATTTAACAGTATTATGTCATCTTAATGTGTGAACATGAAATCCATGACAAATGAATCTAGATTTTGTTTTAAAAGATTTTAAGTGTTGACTCTTTTGTAAAGAGATTATATCTATTGGCTCTTTTGCAAAGATATTTTATATATTGGTTCTTTTGTATAGAGATTTTAACTATTAGCTCTTTGAAGTGTTTCAAGCCTCAATGTATTTTTTGAAATGATTGTTATTATATGTTTACTGTGATTTTGTGTTAGCTTAAATTTTTGAGTTTCAATTTTATGATTTATTATGATTCTAATATTAATTTTGTTTATCTACTATGTTGTTTTATATATATATGAATTATTATATTATATTATTGCTGTTTTAGAGCATTTGTTAGGTTTATACAGATGCATTCCATTTAAGCTGATTCAGCAGTTATTTCTGTAGGTTGTTCCTTAAAATATTGTTTATGTAATCAAAAGAATTATGAAATTTTGGATAGTTACACTTCTATGAGATGTTTTATCTTCAATTCTAAGAAATGCCACATTTGAATTGTTTAAAATCAAAAAGATTGCACTTTTCAATTTTTTATTCTTTTGACAGTGAAATATAATGCAAGTGATCAGCAACTCCATGCATTTAATAGCCATAAAATTTACTGTAAATTCAGAAATTATTGCGTGCATTTATTATTGCTATTTTTGAAGAATGGACAAGAATGTGAGATTATTAATTGTGATTTCAGAAAAATCTGCATACACGTGCTGTTATTCACCTTAATTAATAAAAACCTCATAATATTTTTTTAATTTACAGTATTGAATTAGCATACATCTCTCTCATTATTTTCAAACTATTTTTTTTCTGTACTGACATATAATTTATTTTTTTCACATTTTTAGAATTTTTCCAGATATGATTTAAGGATGTATTCTTCTGACGTTTCAGTCTCGTTGAAATCTCGATCTGGAATTATTTCCAAAACATGTGATACAAGTGGAAAATATCAATGAAATCAAAAAATATTATAATCAAACTTAACTCTGT